ATGTGTTGTGCTGCCCTTTTCTGTGTTAATCCAAAGGCTTTGCCTAGCTGAGAAGCACGCCGGGTTTGCAGAGGCGCTTTTGGGGAATTAGAGGTAACGGTGGTGGTGCTCTGAATGTTCATCACTTCTGTGACGGAGTCACATGTGGTGTGCACGTGAGAGCAAACCTGGTGATCCGTACTGCAGCGTAGTAAGAACGACAGCCAGTCGTTCAGCACAGTGGTTTCAGAGGATCTGTAGGTTTCTCCTAATTTCTGTCATACAACCGCCTGCTTGCAGCATTTCTGCCAAAGAGGGGCTGGTTTGGCCATCAAGCTTTAGAAGCTTTTAAAATGTAAGTACGCCGTGGACCTGTTTCCATTATTTCAAAAACCAAAGATAAAAAGAGATTAAAAAAATTTCTCTCGCTCTAGGAATTAAAATGTAAGCAAATGCTGAGGATTTGGCTGGTCCACAGAACATTTAAAATTCTTACAGGGAGAAAATTATTAATTTTTCAGCCAGAAGTGTTGTATCTATGTGTGCTCCAATTTATTGTTGTCATGGTGACTAATGCATGTTACCATAACCAGGCACAAGGCTTTAACAGGTAAAAAGTTATAAGAGGTGGTCCTTGTTAAAAATGAATATATTCAAGCCACTCAAAAACAGGCTTTTTTTTTTCCCCCTGTAGCATGGAGGGATTTTAACTTGACATTTTTATGAAAAGATGAGGGAGGTATTAGATTTTATAGAAGTTGGATTGATACTGCTTCTCACCTATGACTACTTCCAGGTGCCTTTTAATGTGAGTCAAATACAGTTCTGAGAGAATGGGATGAGATAGAAAAAGGTGCAACAATTGTAAAAAATTACCTAATAGCAGTAATGTGCTTCTGTAGCTCATTTGACATCAAGCATCTGGCCCTTTCTAGAGCACTGAGAATTGCACATCTGCCCATTTTCAGGGTTATGAAGCACTGCAAGAGCATGAGATGTTGGTCTTTAAGGCTGTGACCTTTTTGGTTAAAAGTTGTCACTGTAAAAGGATTGAATCTTTACCACTCCGGCACCTGACTTGAGACTGTTTTGTGATTGTAAATTCTTTATCTGCAAAATGTGGAGTAAAAACTCTTCTTTCTCAAGGTGACTGAGAGAGAGGACAGGCACTGGTTAAAGGCATGGGAAGGTTAGAATACTAAAACACAGGCTGTACAGCAAAAAACACGTGATAAATTGCACAGCTGTCTGATGAGCTGTAAAGTTAGATGAGGAATAAATTATCTTTTGCCTTTCTACTTCATCAGAGAGATAAAAATCTCCATACATATATTGTGTCATAAAAAATACATAAGCTTAAATGTTTGATTATTTCTTATAATTGCAAATTAAATATTCAAACCAGAAAATCCTTATCCTATCATATCTATTTTTAAAAATGAAATCAAACATCATAGTTGGTCCTGCCCGGCAATTTACGAACATTTCTATGCTGCTTGAAATAGTTTTAGGTGCTTATGAAGGTCCTGAATCTCAATACACCACCCATGAGTTGTTACACACCAATTCCTTAGATTTAGAACTAATAGTAATTCATATTTTTCTACCGCAGACCTGAGACTTGTCGTTTCAAGTCTTCTCTAGGTCAAAGATGTTCCTGCTTTATTTTTTTCCTGAAGTAAATTGCCACTGTCATATCCTAAATCTCAGAATTTCAGTATCTGACTAGAGTCAGTCAGCTGAGGAGCTCCTTTTCTTCCTGTAGAGGTTTTTAGGCCCAGATTTAAGAAGGCATTTAGCTGTCTAAATCTTGTTTAAAAGCCTTTCTTCCCTTAAAAAAGGAAAGGAAATTGCATGGGGAATATGTAATCGGAATTACACTTCTGAACATCTTCATGGATCTGGCCTTTGGAGACTACCCTGTTGTAACTCAGTCTAAATAGGTAATGAATACTAGCAATAGTATGGTTTAAAAATCTAAGGAGTTTGGTAAGAAACAAACGGAAAGGAGACCTGAAGCCACTTCTACTGAATATTAAGAAAAAAACCACTTAATGGTACAGTTACAAAAGAAAATTTTATGATTATGTATAACATGCCTTCTTCATCCATCATAATAATCTATACCTACGATGTTTAATTTTATGCAGCTTTTCTTAGTAGCTGCTCCCTTTACAAGACGCACCAAAATATGTGAAAGGTCTTCAGGTGCAGTGGTCTGTTGGGAACAGCAGAAATCCTGTATACCTGCGTGCCCTTAACTTCAGCTCTGTTGCATCTTTAGATCATCCTAGAGACATGTACAGCAATCATATCAATTCAGTTTTGTCTAGTTTAGAAGGACTAGGTATTTGGATGATTGTATTTTTTTACAGAGCAGTTAATGGATACAAATGAATGGTCTCCATGCAGTTCCTCTCTAAGTGTCTCGTACAGTAGTTTTATTAGCCTGGTTGAAGATTATTTCTCATGTCCTTGTGATTATTGCTTCTGAGCTCCTTTATAAAATTGAACCAATATGAGAGGTAATCACTGTTCCTCTTGTTACCACCCTTCATTTACAAACAGAAACAATGCAGTTCTCCGTGCTTTTAATATCTTTCATGCAAAAGGGAGTCAAACTGTAAAATTATGTACTCATTTTACTTCTTATGTACCCTTTTAATTTGTCAGTACTGTCCATTTTCTGCGTGTGAGGAAAGTCACCTGCAGACCAGAGCAACATTAGGGTTTGGAGCACTACCCAGGGTCACTTATTCCATAGAGCTTCTGCTCCTACCTCATGTCCATCCCCGTGCTTCCTCGGTGGGAAGACCGATGGTCAAAAAATATACTTTTATAGCTTCTCTGTCCTGGATTTATTCCTGTTCGATCGTAACAACCTTTTGCTAAATGGATAGGAGGTACCTTCTGAGAACTGCTTCCTTACACAGAACGTGTAGAAGAGTATCTTTATTAGGTAAAAAAAAAAAGAGGACTATTTCAAGTGGTCTGTTAGCTGTGGCCTTGAATAGTTCATAGGAGACAGCTGAGCACACGGAGAATTTGTGATAGGTGCAATCCATCTTCTCTTGTAGTCAAGTATGGACTCCACTAATAAGGATGCAGATCCTTAGCCCTTGTAATGTGATTGAAACCTTATTTTATAAGGAGAACTGCTTCTTAAATCAAATTCCCACTTCAGATTAAATATGATAGAAGGTGTTTTTACACATTAGTGGTCAGAAGGATTCATTTCTGTGGATATAGAATGCCAAAAATTGGAGCAATTGCTCCTGCTGCTTTCCTTTCAAAATTTGAGGTTGAAGTCATATCCATAGCATATAGGCCACTTAACTAGGCAAAACAGAAATTACAATACTGCATAATTTGTAGATGTACTAATAGTGCCAAGATTAACTAGGTTCGTCTTGGTTTATGATGTTCACTTGCTTGAAGTTACCATATCAGCAGGGTAATGTTGATGTTTCCAGATTTATCTCTTGCTTTTCATTGCAGAGTTGTGCAAAATGTGTGTCATTTCATTATTTTGTGACACATGAAAATGATGTACTTGTTTTGTTTACTCTGTCCTGATTTAATTAGTAGGATGTGATAGTTTGCCAGACTTTTGAATGTCTTCAATAAGAATTTTTTCATGTGTTTTTGATGCTTAACTTGGTTTTGCTTTAAAAGTCTTAACTTCTAGTCATATTCTGTGTGAAATACTGATGACAATTCCTTGCCAGCTTCAACACATATTTTAACAATATGACACGCATAGAAAATACATAGAAAAAAGTGCAGGTTAAAAAAAAAAAACGTAGCATAATCCAAATTGAAATAATCATATAGGAGGGGGCAAAATATTTTAAGAAAGAACAAGCAGGGGAGGAAGGAGGGTCAGGAAGGAGAAATCTGATCCCCAAAAGACAGAGTGGACAGGAGAGGGGAATTCAGAGACAGACCAAATGAGACAGGGAGAAGTAGGGCTGGTGACAGAGGAAAGATGGCTTGTGAAGAGAACTCCTCCATCCACAGGTTATTTTCAGTTAAAGTGAGCTGACGCTGGTTTGGCAGCTTCCCAGTGTTGAGGACAAGGGCAGTGTGCGCACACATGAACCAAAAGTACAAGAGATCACAGTTAAAAAATAAATAACCTCCAAATAATATATTTTTTTTTTGTATGGGCCTGCAAGGTGGAAGGAGCCCCAAGGGCCCAGAGGTCAGCCCAGGTCCAGTAAAGCCATGTCCAAAAATACATAGTGGCAGGGGGGGCCC